AATTGAGCATTGCAGCATGATAGGGATTCCTTTGGTGCTACGGACAACAGTGGCACAGCTTGGAATATCCTCAAATAAGGAACTTCATGTGTCTGATGCTGTTTCTCTTCCTTATTTTCCAGTAATAGCTGGTTAAGTAAAGTAGTTGTGCCTGTGGCAAGTTTTCTCAGAGACAGTGAAATTGAGTGGTTATGGCTTGGTGTGTGGGTTTAAAATGTCAGGACATATCAAGTACTCCATTTCCCTGCCTGTAAAATGATGCCTTGCTCTGTAGCTCAGCAATGAAATGTTTGCCTACAAGACAGGTAAGAGCCACCAGGTCCAGGAAGGGACAAACAGGCACTGTTCCATTTCTTCTAATAATGATGTCATCCCGACTGCTAAAACCACAGTTCTTATCTTGCAGCTGCCAGGCAGGGAAACCAGTACACAGTATGGAAGTTTTTGACTCCTCGATGACTGATGGTTTTTTGCAGTTTCTGCTTCAAAGACTTTAATTCACTCCTAACTCAAGTGTGAGACACAAAGATAAGTATCTTGACAACTCACACAATTGATCCTTTGACTGATAGTGTGACTGTCCTGGTGTTTGTAAGGGAGGTGTCTTGGAATCCAGACAAGTTGTTAAAGGAGACAGTCCTACAGGCGTGCGGCTTTCCTGCTGGAAAGAGAATGTTTTCATAACCAGACAGTGTCTGATACAGCTGAGAATAGTAACTCACAGGCTGAGCTGTGAGGAGAGGCCAAGGGTCTGAGGAGAAGTGATGGCAAGCAGAGGCATTATTTGTGGGGTGGATTCTTTTCTGAGCTGTCTTGAAGATGTAGCAGAAGCGTGGAGAAGAGATGAAAGCTGATTTGTAGGGTGGCTTAGCAGTGTTGCTGTAGGGATTCTGGGACCTACTCCTGTTATGGCAGCCCTGAGAGCTGCTGAGTGTCTCCCCCCACACGCTCCCTGCCGATCCTTGCAGCCAGCAGGAAGCTGCTGCTGACACACCTGCGGTGCCTGAGAGCAGCAGAGCCCCACGCTGGGTGACACCTTGCCTGCTTTGCAGCTCTGCTGTTTCCGTGTGTAGCTTCCCACCTGGGAAGATGAAGTGAGTGCTTGCAGTGTTTGCCCTTGAGTTGTCCGTGGCCATGGTTATGGCAGGGAGCACCGAGTGTGGTCTCTGTCCAGCACAGCGATGGCCAGTGCTGCCTCTTTCCCCAAGGTGGCAGGGCACCGTCAGCAAGGGCTGTGGGAGAAGTGCTATCCAGCATACAAGGCTTTTCCCTTGGCTTACCCCTCACTGCATGATGTAGGAGAAGATGCAGGTGTGGAAGAGAGGAAATTGTCCTGCAGTCCTGCCTCTCCCTTTCCTCTGCCCTGCAAAATTGCAGTTCTGTCTCTCCTTAAAGCCCGGAGTCAGAGGCTTCTGGTCCTGCCTGCTCTTGCCACCCCTCACTGGTGGGCTGCAGATGGGAACAGTTGCTCTGGTGAGTTCCTTGTGAGATTTAAAGGATGATATAAGGATAATTCGGGGATGAGAGGGAGAAACAGAAGATGGGACGCCAGACCTGAACGACCTGTGTTGTTGGAGGGCAGCATGTACTGAGGGTGTACTCAGCCCCATCTAAAGAGTCGTGGTTGCCTTGGGGGAAACCTTGGAGACTTGATTTGTGGGAAGCATCCACAGGATTCATTTGTGAAAACTGGCATGTGTGTGGGTGGAAGGAGGTCTGTCCTTCTGTGCTGACAAGTGGCTGGTGGATGTGCTTCTCTGACTGTAATTATATTTAATTCACATATGCCTCTCCAGTGCCCTGCATCCCAATACAATGTGGAATTGGAATGAACATCCCTGCACTGACTCTGTAGAACTGATTTAAGGGTCCTAAACTTGTGTTTGCAGTACCCCCTTCATTTTTTTTTCAAGTGAGAGATAAAGAACTGGTCCAAAAAACTGGTTGTAATCTTATCTGTTGAATCTATTCAAGGCATCTAGTGGTTTCTCAGAGGCAGCTGTTAACACATAAAGCTCATTTGTCTAATGAGCGAATTGAAAGTGTGAAAATGAATAATGTATTAAAACTAATTGGTATTTCAATTAAATTTTGTGAAATTTCATTTTCAGGCTTTCAGCAGCCCTAAAGCAGCCTTAGCAAATGATCTAGTTTTATTCTGAATGTGAATGCAGATGGGGTTTGTAGCCTTTATCCATCTTTTCTCATTCTTCAACTAAAGATTCCTTTTACCCAGTATAAGGAAACCTTTTTCCATCTACCAGAAATGGTCTTAGGCTGAATCTAAAACTATCAGGGTTCCAAAGTCTTAGTGATTAAAATCTTCAGATGGCATCAGCATGATTGCATTTGACTGGCGTTTGCTCTTTAGGGGTCCATGTTTTTGGGGTTTTTTTTCAGATTCCATTAAGGAATTTGACTTCTCAGGAGGAACTTGGTGACTATCCAAGCCATTTGCATTGATTCAAAGTAATTATGTAAAACTTGAGGCTTGTGGAATTACTAGTTAATTAAATAAAAAATGATTGGCCCTGGATTGCAGTAATAGGAAGCCATTTTGTGGTGTGGGAGAAATCCTTTTTCCTCCTCTCTGGCCACCCAGGCAGAACTTTGCTAGCCAAGGGCAGGAACCCTTCAGGGGCTTTGACTGCCTGGGTGGTCAGTCTTTGATTTAGGAAATTCAGTTCATGAAATTACCATATTCAAGCTTCCTCATCTCATTTTTTTTGCCGTATAAGTACTTTGGAGTGTGGTGGAATTTTTCATTGTTCTTTTTTTTGTTTTACCTCTGCTCATGTGCAGGAGAGGACAAAACTCCACTTTGCAACTACAATGGGTGACTTTTTCTCAGTGTCTCTATTTCTGTGGACTTTGCCCAGAGCTGAGATGATCCCTGAGGGGAGGGAAGAACCACACACATTGCAGGTCTCTCCTCCCTGCACTGAGGCCTTATCAAGGTGTTCTACCTGTGCAGGGCACCCAGCACTCAGGGAGGACTTTTTTGCTCTAAACAGCATGTGAGCATCTGCCTCTTTCTGAAAATCATAAGTGCTTTCAAAACACAGTGTTTGAGTCTGTAGAGACCTTTCCTGCACAATTCCAGGAACTGATGTGTGGAACATGCCCGGGCTTGAGCTCCTCTTGCAGCTTCTTATCAGTAAAGTAAGCTGGTGTGGATGGTGCAGAGGCTCATGCCAAGCTGCTGTTCCCTGCCTTTCTGGGCCTGGCTTTGTGGGCATGCCCAGAATAAACCTGTGCTGCCTTGTTTGACTTGTGTTTTCTGCTTTGGGAATGGAGCAGTGTGCTGCTTTTCCCTCCCAGACTGGAGCGGTCTGTGCCTCTTCTTCTAAAGCAGGCAGTGGGAAAAGACAATAGTGTGTCTCTTTTTGGTGGTCTCTTACCATGAGTGTTCAGACTGAACCAAATGAATTTGCTGCTAGTATGAAACAGTGTGGAACAAAAAGTGTAGGGGATCTGGGTGTTAAAGCCACATTCTGAGCTTGCCTAGGAAAGATGTGTCAGGTGGCAAACCCCCCAAGGAAGTGTCTTGACTTCAATTTCTATTCCATCCTCTTGCTGTAAGAAAAGATTACATTGGTCCCTCTATAGGATGATATTTTATTTAGTCTATTTGTCACCATCTGTCGATGCTCAGCTCTCCCTCCAGCAATTTACAGGAATTCTCAACAATGAGAAAAAGTGGGTCATCCCAGCACTGTTGGGCTGCGTTTGGCGGGAAGAGCTCTGGCTGTAGGGCTTTGGTGAGTAAAGAATCTCACTGGTGCTGGTCAGTCAGGCAGCCTCACCAGCACATCTGGCCACTTGTGTGCAGCTTGCAGCTGGAGTGGCTTGTGTTGCATCACTTCTGCCAGAAGCCTGGGAGAACATCTCCCCCTCCATGACGGAGGGTGGTGTGACCAGAGGGTGGTGCAGCTTCTTGCACCTTGAAGGATGGGCAGGTCTGTTCAGTTTGAGCTTGTGTTATAAAGTCAGCTGGCTGCTCCCAGCCCCAAATAGCCAGCACAGGTTTGTCTGACTGTGGGAAATAAAGAATCGGTTTTATTACAAGCAAATGAATTTAGCAAATCACTAACATAAGAGTTTTTCTTTACTAACCTATAGGGCCTATCGCGGAGCTGTAAGACGCCGGATTCAGCCTGGAACCGGTGTCAGGGAAACATGCGAACGGGAATAGGGGAACTGTAAATGAATATTGGTAAGGAAACCCCTTATACCACATGGCTGGTCCTGGAAGCTGCCATGCTGCTGGACACTCCACCTCCCAGCACGACACAGCCAACCAGAAAGAGGGGAACGCCTCTTCTATGACGTAAACGGGGTTGAACCTTAAGAATGTTTAAAAAGCGGGACTTTTGAATTGAAGGGTGTGTTCCTGGGAATCCTGCGTGCCTAGGACACCCAACACGTGTTGTAATTTTTCCTTTTCGTTTTATTCCTTTTGTTTTGCAAACTTTTGCCGTCTTTCTAAATTCAAGAAATGAGATTTTTCTCGCACTGACCAGCTGTGGAGTCCTGCCGTGGTGCCACACGAAGCTTTTGGCACAGGCTACGGCTGGGTGGGGATGGCAGTGCTGATATTGCTGTGATGAATGGGGTTTTCCAAGCAAATGGGATGTGGGCAGAGGAGGCTTGGTACTACTTCAGGCTTCCTGTGGTCTGAGCTGTGATGCTTCAGGAAGTAGTGTTTAACTCAAAAGGAGTTAATAGCAGAGGATATCCACTGTTTGCCAGTTGTAACACGAACACCTTGGGTTTGGTCTGAATTACTTCGAAATGAAAATAAATGTTCTCTATAAAACCAGAATATGTGCAAGCTGAGGCTTTACCTAACCTACAGAAATATTGCTTGTGTGGATAACTCCTGAGGAGTTTGCACAAAGCCAAAGTCCTGCCACAGTCTTAGTGCTAAATCCCCACTTTTCATTCCAGAGTTCTGTTTCTAGTTCTCTAACCTGAATTAACATCTGTCTCTCCTCCAGCAAAGTCAAACCCAGGAGAAAGGTCACCTCTGACCTGTTTCAGAACTCTGTCAGGTCCCAGAGAAGAGGACAGAGGGGACTGCACTCTCCCCAGCCAGCACTCTTTAGGGTAGAGGTGAGTAGCAGCAATGGGGGTTTGAATGGAACAGAGGGAAATACAAGGCAGCAAAGGCTTAAGCCTGTGTTTTAGCTATTAGTCTGACATAACAACTCTGAAAAGAAGGGCTCATGGTTAAGAGAGTGCCTGTGGGCTATTGTGTGTTTTAAATGTATTTGAGATTGTGTTTTGCCCTTGGACTTTTAAGAGCCTTTAAAAAGGTGGGCAATTCACGGTCTCCTGAAATATTACTGTGGTTTGCTTTAGAGGTTGAATTAATTTCTGCTTTCACTTCCTCCCTCTTTTCCACCAGCACACTTAGTTATTTAAAACACAATTATGAGGGGTTGTTACTGTGAAACGGGATCATTCATCACTAGCCCAGGTTAGCAGGGCATCTGTCTGGGCTCCTTAGTGCTTTCCCCCCATTTTTGGTATTTGGTGGGAAGTATTGAAATGAGCCTGAGTATCCACATGTATCTCTGGCATGGGGGGGGCAGTGGGGGGCACACTTGAGGCCCTGCAGGTGTGCAGTGGTGTCAGCTGGGTGTTTCACTTCAGACTGTGCTGCCGTGCATGCAGAGCCAAGCAACTCACCTGCTCTCAGCAGGTGCTCAAATTCCTCTCTGGTAACACTGCTCTCCATTCCAGCCTCTGGCACTGTGTGAGGGTTGTCCCTCTCCTCCCCAGCACCACCTTGGCTTTAAATCCCCACTCGTAGGTTATGTCACTCCAGTGTCTGTGGCAGGAAGGAGTTTCATGCCCCTTATTCACATTCACATGCCCTTCTCCTTGAGGCAGTTGTGGATTTCTCAGCCCTTTTTCATGAGTGCCAGCTCTCCAGAAATATGGATATGCATCACTAAAAAGGTCATTTTCTGCAAGACATGGCCGGATACATGAGCTCTGCTGCAAGATGTGGATTTATGGAGTTATTTTTTTTTCTTTCACACTCTTCGTACTCTTTTATATGACAAGGAGTTCTGGTCCAAAGCAGAGGGTGACAAGAGCTGCTCTGTCTTTGAATCCACCATGTAACAGGTTGGAGTCAAGCATGGCTGAAGTCAGCTGTTCACAGTGACCAGTGGTTCTCTTGTGCACTAGTGTTGGCTCATGTCCTTCTCATGTTTCTCAGAGTTCCTGCAGGGGCCCTGACACTGCTCTGAACACAGAGGAGTGGATGGAACTGCGTAGTTTGCTGCTTCCTTGTTATCTCTCTGTGGCACTCCCCCTTGAAACTGCAGGCTGGAGATGTAGCTATGTAAGAGACTACAATGGTTATTGATAACGCTACAAACTGCTAAAACTAATAAATCAAATTAATAGGCACAGCACTGTGATCAATTTATTGCATTGTTTTGTGCAACCTTACACAATTATGAAGGTGCTATTTTTCACACTTAAATCTGATTAACTACCTTGAACTGTTACTGAAATGTCTGTCATCCTCCCCCACCCCAGCTTGTATTAGGATACAATTCTAACCCTCTGCTCCGCCCTCCGACAAGCTTTTTAAACATAATGTGATAGAAAGTTTATCTGAGATAAAGCCAATGACTAGTCCAGTGGGTTGTTGAAGGGGACTGTTGGAGGGTGTCCCAGAGAGCTTCTGTCACCAGGTGAACTTCACTACTGTCTGTAAACATCGTGCTCAGATCATGGAAGATGTGCCTTCTGTTCATCTTTGACTGATCATTTCCATTTATTTCCATTTCTGAACTCTGCTTTTTGTTGACTTTGTTCCTCCTTTTCTCTTCCCAGTCTCCTCCCAAGTAAACAACCCATCCTTAATTACTCTCTATGCATTTTTCCCAGTTGTGCTACTGTTGCCCAGGCACTGTGGGTCCTGTATGGTATTACTGATAGGGTTATGTAGATGGCCTTGCAAGGTTCCACTCCCCAAAACTCCCTATCAATTATCAAGTTCATCCTGGTTGCACATAGATCACCTTGTGCAGTTGGCATAGCAAGCCATCCTTCTTTAACCATTTTTCTTCTCCCTAGATGAAATTAGGCCTAAGTATTTTCTTACAGGCAGACAGTCTGCACACTTGTGAGCAGCTGCTTGGCTCTGCACGAGGAGCTGAACAGGTTTATTATGGAGCTAGTTGAGGTTCCTTTGAAGGGGGAGAAGAAATGTGAACCTTGGGTTTTTTTGCAGGCTTATGCTATCTGCTATCTCTGTTTCCCACCTTGTTACTGCTCTGCTCTGATTACATTGAACTGGGGAGCTGCTGACTTCTTTATGCACAGGAAGTACAATACCCAGTGCCCAAACACAGGGGTAAAATCCTTCCAAACAGAGATGTCTGAGTGGGGGAAGTGGATGGTTTTTGCTGCATACATGTGTGTTTCAAAGGAGGAGCTCAGAATCAGGGTTGCTGTCGCTGCCACAGCTGGGAGTGCGAGGAGAAGGTGAGCTGGCTCTTCCCCCACCAGTTTGTAAGAGCAGAGCCATCTGTCATTCAGCACGGGACAGTTCAGTGTGGGTACATATCCAGGAGTTAGCATGCATTCGCTGAAATCTTGCTAATGCTACCCAGGATGTCCAAAGGAGGCCGCAGACACATGTTTAGGGTTGGAAAACAGCAGATGTGCAGAGCTTTTGAGTGGAACACAGGCTTAACAGTGATTTCCTAACATTTATGATCAATGGATCTCTCCAGATGGAGCATGCACTGCTGTACACCTTCCTGGAGGCATCCTCTGACTGTAAGTTCAAAGAGCAGCTGCGGTCCCTGGAGCCTTTGTCTGACCAAGGGGGGACTGTGCTTCGCGGAGGAGGGATTGTGTCTCAAGGGGGGATTGCGCCTCGTCGCCAAGGGGGGAGGATTGTGCGTTACCGAGGAGGAGGCTTTGACGATGAGTCTGAACTCCAGTGTGACGGCAATCGCAGCGGCCACCTGCAGAACGGTGAGCTAGGTGAGTGTGCATTCCTCCAGCCCAAATGTCTGTCTGAACATGGGGTTTTTCTTTCCCCCTTTCCTGTCCTGTTGACTGTTTCAGAGGAGTAATGTTTTCTCCATTGAGAAACTTCACAGTGTGGCTGTTGGTTGGGAGTTTATCACTTGGGGATAAGACAGACTTTATCTGTCCATGAATTTTTAGAGCACCCGTAACCCCGGGGTTTTGTCTGCAGCACATGGGACAAGGGCACAAAGCTGGTTCTCATGATAGCTGCCCTCAAGGAGTGTGATATTAAAGCAGTTAAGTTGGGCCTCGTGCTGCTCCTCAGGCAGTGTCGGTACTGGGGCTAGGATCTTGGAACAAGTTGTGTTCTAGTACTGGGTGAATCCCTTTCTGCTCTACCACTGTGGTGGAAACTGTTCCTCACTCAAAAGGTTTCTGGTCCCTTTCCTGCTTCACTAGCCATCTGCAGGGTGGCTATTGCCCTTTGCCCAGGGTGTGCCAGCTGGCACATTGACCTCAGCCAGGGTGAGGAGGAAGTGCTGCAGTAAATAGCCCCCCCACATACAAATTTGCGTAGGTCTCATGCCACGAGTGACCGAGGGAAGCTTTGCCTGAAGGAGATGGGACAAGGTGTAATGGTTTTAAACTGAAAGTGGGCAGATTCACACTAGATGTAAGGAAGATTTTTACAACGAGGGTGGTGAAACACTGGCACAGGCTGCCCACTGGCAGCGGTGGATGCCCCGTCCCTGGAAACATTTAAGGCTGGCTGGGGCTCTGAGGAACCCAATCTCACTGAAGATATCGCTACTCATTTCAGGGGGTTGGGACGAGATGGGCTTTCAAGGTCCCTCCCAACTCAAACTGTTCTATGAGATGCTGTATTTTAGATGGTGCTTAAGAGACAAGTTGTGACAACAGTCACTTCAATAAATCCTAGAATTGTTTAGGGTGGAAAAGACTTTTAAGGTCATGCACAGTTTCTCAATTCCCCTCTCTGGGCAGGATGTAGCTGTTGCTGTTCTGTTGAGATTTTGGCTGGAGATGTTCTGATATCCCCTGTAGTGATTTTTTGGGCTGCACTTTATCTAAACCACAGATTAAAAACCTGTTTGCGCAGTGTCTCTGTTAAGCAACTTGGGTTCACGTAAAGGAGTTGGGTTTAGAGCTGTCATGAATACACTGTGAGAAGGTGGTTGCTAATGGAGATGAGCGAAATGCTGTGGGTCAGCTTACCTGCACTGAACCTGCTCTGGCTGCAGCCTGTGGACTAAATCCTGCTCCGTGTTGGCAGAGACTGACGCTCCGGCAGACGAAGACGTTATCCGGATCATTGCTGCTCAGCTCGCTGAGATTGGAGACAAGCTTGACAAAGATGTCCAAGGAAATGTAGTAAATGATCTAGTGCAGCACTTTCTGAATGAGAATCTCTCCAGAGAGGTGAGTGAAAAGCAACCTGGCTAGCTGTTCCCCTTTTGAATGTTGTGCATCCTTTCTGCTGTGACTTTGAAAACAGCAAGCTTACGACTTCTGTATCTTTGCTATTTTGCTCATTTAATTCTTGCCATCTTAAAATTCAACCCAAACACTTAAATTTGGAGATTTGTTAGAGGTGATTCTGTAGCCTGTGGCAGAAGTTACTGTGTAAATTTGGTTCCTTGGGCTCATCTCCTTTCTGCAGATGCTGTAATTACAGCTGTGGGTAGTTGTGGAAAAGGACTGACTTTCAGAGGCATTTTGTCCTTGTTCTGTTGGCCCAGTGACTTACCTTTGAAAATTAATTGTCTGGTTAAGGGTTAGTATTTGTCCTTAAGATCTTTGGACTTTGGTGCCAAGTCCTGTGTGCCTGCTGATTGTCATGTGGATAAAACAAGCAGGTTAGTGCCAGAAGCTTGACTTGTGCTTGTTACTGAACACTGAAGAGACAGCAAGTCATGAGACCCTTTTTTAGTGCCATAACTGTGTTCATAGGCTCAGTGCTGGGAATAGCAGTGGGTTTTGGCCTGGATGGGTGACCTGCTGGGGTGGCCTTTCCAGGTGGCCTCTTTCTCTTTGATGCAGTTGGCCCAGCATCTAACATGCCTTGCTGCTCTGCAGGGGAAATAGAGTTGGAAGCCTCTTGTGTTAAAAAGGAAAAAGAAGGATGTCTAAGTATTAGATCCACATCTGGATCAAGGGCCATAGTGTGCTTCCACAGAGCCTTCTTGGCATCTTCAAGGTAACTGTGGCTTTCTGGCTTGTTTGGCTTTCTCTGTCTGTGATGAAGTTTTCTATGCTCTACAAGCTAATGATCTGTAGAATTGAGGACCCACCTTCTTGCTTTTCAAAAGGCAGGATTTAATGACTTTAACCAATCCTTTTGTTTGGTTGGTTTTTTTGTGATGTGGGGTTTTTCTACTAGGGTTTACAGGTTTTTACAGATTCCAGCAAAGTCTGACCATTCCTCACGCCCGCTGCCCTCTCCACCCAGTTAAGTTTCAGGTCTTCAAATTTATTGCCTAACCTTTTAGTCTTTGATAAGACTGAGATTTAAACCTAATTGCTGACCTTGCTTTTTCACATTAGTAATATAGCTTAGTGTGTGCATATTGTTCTGTCTTGGGAAAACTGATCTTCCACTGACCTTGGGAGCAAGGCTTGGACACCTTCACTAGCTCTTCCTTATGTGAAGGCTTTTCTGTGAAACTTTCTCTGCCTTTTTCCAGTCCCCACCTAAGCTTGTGCCCCAGATCTATGCTGTGGTGGGTTGTCCTTTCCTGGGAGCCCCAGAATTCCTTTACCATTTCAGGACTTGACAGGCTCAGTGCAAACCCTAGGGAGGAGGGGGCTGTTGCATCCTAAGTGTGTAAGGTGCTGTCTAAATTTTCCAGTGGTGGTGTGCTGCCTCCCTTTCATTTTGTCTTGGGTGAGCAGCTGAGCTCAGAGAGAGTGATCCTTACTGTCATTCAGGGTACATAGCAGGCAGGCTGCCCTGCCTGGGAGGAAGGGGAAGGACATCCTGTGGATGCTGAAAGAAGCACATCAGTTATCAGCAGTCCTGGCAGGCTGTGCTGAGACCCCTTTCTCCCCCAGCTGTTGCACTGAGCTCCCTCTCCTCCTTCCATATAGGAGATAACGCGGCACATGTCAAGGGTAGTGAGAGAGCTTGCACAAGCCATCCCCTCAGACATGGAACAGGAGAGGGTCATGTTGGTGCTAGCGATGGTCTTGACTAAGAAAATTGTGAATACAGTGCCCTCCCTTCTACGCCGTGTCTTCAGCATCACTGTGACCTTCATGAACGAGCAGTTCCACAACTACATTGATGAAATGGTGAGTGCTGTCAAACAGCTCGGTGCAATCACAGCCGGCCTCTCTGCTGCCCTCCTGGTTGGCCTGGGTTATTCCCAGAGGGGTGGCCTAGCTCTGAACTGCCTGTGGTCTGCTGGGCTCCCTGTAGTGCTCTGGAAGTCAGGAGGGAATGTCAGTCTCTAAAGATCGGTGTGCTTGAGGGGGTGTCACAGCTTCTGCTTGCCCCCCTCTGACAGCAGCCAGGGAATAGAGAGCTGTGACTGCTCCTCTCCTCCCTGCAGTCCCTTCAGGGAGCTGTGCCAGTAAGACTGGGGTTAATCATGCCCTCAGGGAAGAAAAGCCTGACCCTGAGCTCTGATGGCTGTATTTCCTGAATGTCTGGATCCTGAGCTCTCTGCTCTTGACTTCCTTGGCTCCCCAGAGCTTGGCAGAACTGGAAGGGGAAAGGAATTGCCCCTGAGAAACAACCCTAGCAGAGCAACAATGAGAAATGGTCAGATCCGTTTTTGTTCACTGTCAGAGCTTCAGCATAGGTGGATTCTGTGCAGCTCATGGGCAAGGTGGGGTAGAGGCCGGGGCTTCAGCTGTCTGGGAAGGAAAGAGGACACACACGTGTGCTGAGCCGTGGCGGTACTCGAGAATGAGCCTGAGTGGTCAGAGCTGTGATCCTGCTGCTCTGTGACACAGTGGTGACGCAGCTGTGGGGAGCTGCAGGTCTGTGGGACACCCCTGTGCTGCAGCCTTGCCATGGGCAGCACTGGCAGCCACCTGCAGAGGGGCTGAGCTCACCCTGTGTCCTAGGACTCAGCACCCTGCTCCCTGCCAGGCAGCAGGGCACGGTGTCACTGTGCAATGTCACTTGGCACTGCCCTTCCCTTCACTCAGTTTGGCTCCAGAGCGCTGAGTTATCCCAGAAATGGGTCACTCGTGTGGGACAGGCCCTTCCTGCTGCCCCAGCTGGCTCCGAGCACTGAGCAGCAAGGGCAGTCAGAGGGCTGCTGGTTATCCACCCACCCCAGGAGGTGCCATCAGGAGCGGGCTGGAGCCGGGCGGCAGGGACTGTCCCACACTGTTCCCCTGGGATGACTCCCTGCCGCTGGCCCGGGAAGGGGGTGATGGCAGCCGCGGAGCACGGCAGGTGGCAGTGTCGGGGCGCGGTTCGCGGCACTGGCGACGCGCAGAGGTCCCCGGGAGCTGCTGGGCTCCTGGGGTGGGTGAGCTCAGGGACTGCCGCGGGGGGTGGCTCTGCTGCTGTTAATGCCCGTTCTCTTTCTCTCCCTCCAGCTTGGTGAGTGAGCTCTCCTGCCCTCCACGTGGAGAACACGGATCCTAGAAGGTTTAACTTTTCTTGGTGTTTGAAGACTTGCTTTTTAACTTCTGAGATACTGTGGAAGTGTCTCAATATCTCCCACAGCTGTGAAAAGGATGGCAGAGCTCCATAGATAGGCTTTTGTAGACTAGCACAGCAGTAATGGTAGCGGGAACCGCCTGCCAGCTCTGCCAGTATCTGTAGGGAGAAGTGCTTGCCCTTTCTAATTTTGATATTTTTTTCAAGTTCTTTTTTTCTTTTTTTTTTTTAGCAATAGCAGAGTTTGTGCAGACCCTGGCTTGTACCTTCAGAGGCCCAGTGGGGGCAGGGCCTGCACCCTCTGTTTTTTCTAATCAGCGGTAGCATTTTGCTTTAGTTATTTGCTTGCCAGCCCTGCTCTTGCAGCTGAGCCTCAGGCTGTGAAATGGATGGTTGATCAGCACAGATCACAAGTGATCTGTGGGGTGGGTGGGAATCAGGTCTACCTTGATGGGGAGCTGGCAGCAAGAGAGAACAGAGCCCTGAAGGACGGAGGGGTGTTTGGCCAGGTAAAGATACTTCAGTATCAATCACCATCCACCTGTGTTTGCTTGAAAAATAAAACTGATGGAATAACTGCAAAGAAAAAGGCAGGGGTAGGCACTGGGCAAGTTTTTTTGATAATGCAACCTGGATATGCTTGAGAAAAAGTGATATATCTAGTAATCACATCTCAGGTTCAACAAACTTGGACTCAGGTTGTTTGACACACACGAGGTGGCAAACGCGTCACCTGTGATCCAGCTGCCTCATGAATTTGGAAGTTTGTAAATATTTTGTGGGCTTTCTTAAATAAAAATGTCATTTCTCATGGCACTATGGCTCGTAAGAATTTCAATTTCCACCTGGATTTTTTTGGTGTTGTCAATTTTTTGTTGAAGTACTCATGGCATTCCTCTAATTTACCAAGGCTTACGATGCAGCTGGCAGCAGTAGAGACTCTCTGGTCCTGTCCTTGTGCCTTGCATAAGCAAATTTTATGTAAGTAAAAGCATCTTTTCTTTTGGTGCCTGCACTAAAACGGGGAGAGGAGGAAGCACAGAAGTAGTCTACACATTGTTCTTGAAAACTGTACCATTTATTAAAGTGCAACCTGGGGGCATGATCTTACAGCAGTGTCCCATTAGCAGAGGGAAAAAATGTACATGCCCCTTCACTTCAACTGACTACAGAACAATGAAGCTGGAAAGAACTTTCTTTTAAAGGTGGAAACACTTTTATTAACCAAATGGCACAAGAAGCTTTAGACAGTTTTCCCCAAGAGGGCTGCACTTGCATATTAGAAGGAACAGTATGACGAGTTCCTGGGATAATGGGTGACTTGAGGACCAGTCAGGGTCTCTTCCCCCAGGCAGGCCTCTTGAGAACAGAATCCGAAATCCCTGCAAGTCTGTCACTATTTGCTTACACCCAGCAGAAGCCTAGTAGAAGATATCCCCTAACATGCAGCTTTAGTCAGTCCCATTAGTCTTTGCTACTTAACAAATCAAGTCCCATTAGTCTTTGCTACTTAACAAATCAAGTGGCATTCTTTTGGTCTGAGTTTGAATAAAAGCTTATACTGCAAGTATAAGCTGCTTATACTGCTTATACTGCAAGTTAAAAATGGGGACAGACCCCCTAAAGGTATAGCAGTAAGATGCATCCTCTGCAGCTTGTTCTGTCCACATTGATAGTGTTCCTTCCCTCCCCTGCAGATACTGCAGGGACATCAAAGGCAGCTTCCACTGGAAGCCAACAGGAGCTCCCCCACTTCTACAACATGACCATAGACCTCTGGCTCAGAGGAAGCAAGTCACCTACCCAAGAGTCCAAGAGTGGGTCAGCTCTAAGTAGGAAAAAAAGTGATAAGTTATTTAACTTAAGGAGGTGGATCTGGGCGATGTTGTGTTTGTGGTTCCCCTGGACTTTACACTGCAGCTGACCCCTCTGAGCTGGTGCCATTCCCCAGCCAAGGACTGGGCAGGAGAGTTCACTCTGTCAGACACAAACTGAATTCCCTGCTTCTCTGGGCCTGAGAGCTCACTCTCCTGGAGTCAAGTAGTGGTGGCTTAAATTTTATAAACACTTCCTCACCCCCCTTTTTTGTTATGGCAATACAGAGCTTGCAGTTTGAAGCACAGGTACACACACGGAGTCAAAGCAGTGCTGTTCTTGTAACCTCCCTAGTGCTGAAATTAAGCAGACCAAGCCAAATTAAAGCCATGCACAGCTTCTGCCTTCACTTGGTACAGGAGATATTGTGCCTCACCTCTCCATGTTTCACTGGGAAACACTTTCTCCTGTTGTGCTTCAACCTGAGCAGACACAAACAGAGCCTGGGATAAAACATTCTCCTGAAGCCTTGGGCATTCTGAAGCCCCTCAGGCATTGCAGCTGGGCTCTGTTCATCTCTCCACCCCACACCCCCCATTTCACAGCAAAGGAACCTCATAATTACACTCTCAAATTCTGTAACAGGAGCTTGCTCTGGCTTAGGGAGTGAGACACGATGGTGCCAGAAGCACTTCTAGTTTTTTCTGCCAAAATAGCAAGATCTACCTTCCTAGGGCCTTCCTAGTACTGCCATATCACTGTAGCTGAAATTAAAGGTTTATCAGCTCAGATTATTTTCTCTACTACAGTCATTAAAATGAAAAAAGACCAAACTTGAGAACCTTGCTTGTTTAGCACTAATTAAATTTTTCATTTGTGACCCTTAGAAAGCATTGATTAGTTAAAAAATCCAGTCCAGTGTGTTAGGCTGGCTGTGATCAACGCTGTATGAAAAAGAAGGAAGTGGGATTCTGGCAGCAGAACTTATCCTGTCTAAGAGCACTCAGCACTCCAGCTTTCACCTGGCCCTCGAGCTGCAGATGCCTGAGTGCAGCTTCCAGCCAGGATGAAAAATCAAGCCCTCACAAACAGCAAGGATGGATTCCTTAGTACTAATTTGCTCTCCAGAAGGCATGTTAGGAAAGAAACAACCAACTGCAAACACCACCACAACAGGCACTTCACCTCCAGCCAGAATCTAAACTGGTGTCCAAAAGCAGGTGCAATACTGAACAGAGACCACGCTCCCGCTGCATCATCCGGCTCTGTGCCAGGAGCTTGTTTGGACTGGTGAGGACCTGGAGCAGCAGCTGCTCCAAGATTCACATCTTAATGGACAGAAGGCTGCAGAAGTGCTGCTTTCTTGGCTCCAGATTGTTTGGTTGGGCCAGCCCTAGCATCTCAGATTATTTTCTGTAGTTTTCAGCAGCCGAATTACCACCCTGAGAACCCCTCTCAGCACCCACCCAGCCCAGTGAAAACCAAAACTTTAAGTATTCAAGCTGTGCCCTCTCTCTCTGTACCAAGTAATATTCCTGTTTTGGCCAGCTGAGCAGCTCAGTACTGTCATGCTGCCCCACCTCCAGCCCCACAGCTGGATTTTGTGAAGGTGAAGGGAGTCGGGAGGCAGGAGTCCACCAGGCTCCACCCCACACAGGGCAGCTACAACAGGCAGGGACGTGGCTCTGTGTCTGCACTTTGGGCTTTTGGGTAACAGTGGGATTCTGGGGTTTGGTCTTTGCTCCCAGCCTCTTGTTCCTGCAGTGCCAGCTGAAGAAAGCCCCTGCCCATCTCCCAGCCACAATGCCCAACTGAGCATAGCTTAGAATTAAGCACAGCTGAAATTTAATTTGCACCTTCTCTTGAAAGCCTTTTCCTTGACAGCTCCTTACTGAGCACGCTGCCCACTGCAGTTCATTAACTATTTACCACTTCTTTGTAGATCTCGTCTGCTGCTGTTTTAGCATCTCAGCTTTAGGGTGTGCTAAGGATAAAGTGAAGACAGAATGGGTCTAAGGTAGATATTTTGTTAAGGTACAGGCCACTCGAGGACAGATATTGAGGCACTTTTGGGAAGGGGATATGCAACGCAAGTTGCCCTTTTGTAAGTATAGAGCTACTGCCTTTCCCTCTGCCAGCTACAAGAGATCCACTAAAGAGAGGTTGCATCCCACCTTTCGGGGTAGTTAGACCCTGCAGCGTAGGATTACTGCAATATACTTGAAGACGAGGGGAAAAACCCCTTCCATTTTCTAATTCACACTCTGACAGGGCAGCCTGTCACTCAGGTCTGCAGGAACGCTGCCCTCTGACCTTACCTGCCCTTTGGTGACTTCACAGGGCCTGTCCCAGCTCTGACCACAGGACTCCAAATTCAGCAGAATTCAAGCCCTCAACTGACCTTTTTAACTAACGGAGTGTTCCCAGAGGAAAGAGACTCACAATGTTCTGAACATGTGGTCAGTGGGGTGGGGGAGAAGAGGGTACAAATTCTTGCTGACTTGCCAAATCTAAAAGACCCTTAGAGGAAAAGAATATTCTAGAGGAAGGACCAAGCAAAAACATACGGTGCAGCTGATCCTCCATTAAATGTGGTAACACACCAGATATTCAAGCATTTTCATGGTCAGGCAAAAGACTTAACACAGTCACTTATTCCTTACTCCTGCTGCCACCTTCTCACTGCTGTGTGGAAGAAGATGCTTTCTATTTAATGCCCTGCTGGGCTCCTTGTGCCAACAAGTTACGGACTTCTTCCCTAGCCAGCCTGGATTTGTTCCTGTCTGTCCTCTACTGATCTCCCACACTAACACTGAAACAACCACATCCAGAGAAGAGTTAAAGTAAAACCAGCCCTGTCTGCACCCCACCCTTGATACACAAATTATCCAGTGTCCACAGAATCCATCTCTGCTTTAGAGTAACCTGCTGTGTGGCGACAGCTGGGGATGTCCCAGCTGTAGGCTCAGCGTCTTCAGTAAGGAGAGGATGTAGGTCAGGTTCAGAACAGCCCTTTTCCCACAGAGAACGTTCCCGGAGAAGAACCCAAAGCCATCAGCAAAGCAGCAGGAGAGGGGCAGCCCTATCCCAACTGACCTGGCAGGAAAGCACAGCAATGAGACTACCAGGAAATGGCAAAAAAGTCAATTCCACTTTGCAATGTTATAAAGGGTTTTGTGGTTTTTTTTTCTGTTAAGGCCAAACGACTAAGTTTTGTATATGGAAAAAGAGCCATCAGTGATCAACAGTAAAGTCCAGAACTCCACAGCTCCCGAGTTCAGTCCACAGTGGCAGCACATACGTGACAACCTTCCTCTCAATATTCGACTTCACACACACAGAGTTCAAAATCCAGTAAGTTTTCTAGAAAATCCATTCTCACAAAAGCTTAACCAAAAATAATTCCTCAGAATCTGACACTCTCTGACTAACTTTCCAGCATCTTGGGATAGGAAAATGCAGCAAGAATATCCTAAAATAGAGAATATGCTAAAATCTCTTCATTCTGAGATCCCTCAAGTAACAGGCTCATCAGGAGATGTACCCTAGATAAGGTTATTTAGAAATAAAAGTACCTTGTCTTTGTGCTTTGTGAAGAGTAAGATTCCCGTAAGCTCATGTTTCGGTTTCTACATTATCGCGAGTTCCCCTTCACCTCCCTCCAGCTGGTCTAAGCCACAGTGCCAGCACCAGCCTTCAGAGATGCATCCATAGTTCTGCCTGGAAAGCCCAAGGTCTTGCCTACAGAGCTGCAGTGGACATGGACAGACACACAAACATGCTGAAAGAGGAAGGCTTGTAGCTGGATCTGACTAACGCGCATGGCAATACTTTAAACGTTTCTCTCCACACACACCTGAAGTGTTGTGACTGCAGGAAGAGGGGTTTCCTTTTTGCCATAAGTAACTCTTCTCAGCATTTGTGAACCTGTAAGTTTAGATGATTACAGATTCACCGCTGCAAAAGAAATCGCACTGACCAGCGCTCCAGGTCAGGTCAGGAACAAGCAGATAGAGGAGATGTTTAATGCTCTTTTGCTCACTAGAATCCATTGCTTTATATATCTGGGATTCTGTCACAGGCAAGACCAAGTTAGGACTAAATACACTCTGTGCTTAACTTGGGAAAGACAATGCAGACTGCAGCGTGACACAGGACAGCAGAGCGTTTACCGCTGACGTACCCCGGAGATCAGAGCACTGATCCAAGCGGCACCGTGTCCAGCATGAATTTTGCACCTCTGGTAACTGAGGGGTCGCAGTAAGTGGGCCGGGCAGGAGGAAAGCAAATGGGTTCTCAAACCAGCAGTGTCCCTCCCACCCTCCTGGGCAGCACCTCTACCCCAGGAACACCAGGATGCTCAGAGATAATACAGCAATAGAGAGGCAGCATCTTCACAGGATGGGGCTCCAGTAAACGTTAGGGGCCAAAACCAGTGTGAGCCAAGAGGTAAAAAAAAGCACTGTCCCACCGGGGCTTAGGAGGAACCTGGAAGGTTATGAGGAGCAGTGCTGTACCTGAGAGGAAGCCGAGACAAAAGGGAGACCAGCCTCTCGCTACAGGACTCAGGTTGGCTAATGTTTGTTAGGAAGGGCTCTGGGGCGCGACGGGAAGTGACAAGACAGCACAGCTGCAATAGCGGTCAGTCTGAGAAGCCAAAAACTCCAGGGGTTGGCAGCAGCTGGCTCTCCCCTTCCCCTGGGGATTCTCTGTTCCAGTTCCTAGAGTATGAGCACCCCTTTCTTCAGCACCTGCACTTAAGTTCTTAAATTTGCAGAATTTTTTTTTTGTTTTTTTTTTTAAAAATACCCCAGTACTTTAATCACGAAAAACCAGTCCCCGCCCCAATTCTACTAAAAACATGATTGTCCGTAGCTGGAGGCTTATTGAACAACCTCACCCCATCACCATTAAGTTACTCGAATGTCCAATTAAACAGCAGGCAGCTCAACCTTTAGGTAACACAACTACAAAAAACTGGATGGTGCTCTCTTGTCTCTCCCCCCTCCTCCTCCTCCTCAAGAGAGCTCCGTTACTTTTTCCTAAGCGCCAGCGCTACTCCGACCGCTACAGCCAATATAGCCACGGCGGCAGCCCCGCCGTACAGCAGTATCGATTTCCCTTCCGGCAATAGAATAGGCTTCTCCTCGGCAGCAGAGGATTTCTCTTCCACTTCTTCCAAATGGCCCTCTTTCCCCACTTTTTTTTCCCCTGGAAGCAGTATTTTCTCAGGTTCTGGTGCAGCCTTTTCTTCTGATGGCTCTAACTTTGGGACAGGTTTACTTAGTACGGGGATTTCAGGTTCAACAAGCTCTTCGGCCGCTTTTCCCTTTTCCTCCTGTTTTGCACGCAGAAGTGCGGAGGGATGTGCTTTTTCAACAGCAGCAACTTCAGCTGGAGGTTTTGCTTCCTGTAGAGAAGCAGAGGTTTCTGGAAACGCCGCCTGCGTGGTCTCTGCAGCGCCAGCTGCCACCACTGCTTCCTCAATCCCCTCCGGTATCTCTTCCTTCTCCACGTGAACAATATCGGAGTTGGAAGAGTTGTTCTCACTCCTCTCTTCACCCCCTCCGTTGCTGTCCAGGCTTTTGACTTCTTCAGGATCCATAGCCACTTGCTGCCAGGACTCGGGTCCCAGGGAGACTGGCAGGCTCTCCGTGTGCCAGCTCTGACTCGCCGACAGGGAGACGGGCAGGCTCTCCGACTGCCACGACGTGGTCACGGTGGGGGACTCCGGGGGGCTCACCTGGCCTGAGTTGTCACTGGTCAGGATGTAGATGTCATTACTGTCCTCTGCGATGAGCCCGGGGTACTCTTCCTCTTCGGATTCCAAAGTAAAGACTGTCCCCTACAAACAAAAAGGAGGACACAACATATGAGCCACGGCTTCAGCATTACCTCCCCTGTACAGGAAGGAACAGGACACCTGGAAACTTGAGCTGGAAGAAAGATGAGAGGGCTCTGCAGCTGCCTGACCTACATTTCAGTAGCTTACAGGACCCAGCTGGTCCAGCTGGCATTTCCAGAGAATGGAACCTCTTAGATGAGCTTTGCTGGGAGCTCCTCCTTTCCCTGATGTTACTGCATCGCCGAGTACATCACCAAAACACACCACGTGGGCATTATTAACCAGACAAGATGCTAAAATCTGAAACCAAACTGCAACAAAACAAAGCAAGCAAACACAAGGACATGTGCCCAGCTGAATACAGCTGCCTTCTCCCTTCTCTGCACCCTATTGCTCGTCTGTTTTCATCTAACAGTGTTCCTCTTACATTAATTTTATCCCATTTCCAGTGCTATCTGAAGCCTACATTTCTACTTTGTACCAACAAGCTGGAATATACAGTAATTCTAGTATTTTACCACAAACGATTTTAGCTATTCTTGAAATTAACTTTTCAAGACTTTGGCTACACAACTTAATTTGAAACAAACAACCAAGCACAGACATGCAGAGATGCTGACAGAGTTGGCTTGCTTGTATTTAGCTCATTCCCCAGCAGTGATCGGCGGCTCCCAGCAAACTCCCCCCAGTTCACACATGGAGCATGACATTCTATGGTATGGAATATCCCTTTGATATCACCAGTTCGGGTCAGCTGTCTTGGCCACTCTCCCTCCCAGCCTCTTGTGCCCCTCCTTGCTAACAGAGCATGAGAAACTGAAAAGGGCTTGGTTTAGGGTAAGCACTACACAGCCAAAACATCAGCATATTATCAACATTACTCTCATACTAAATCTAAAATCCACCTCTGTAGCAGCTACCAAGAAGAAAATTAACTATTCCAGCTGAAACCAGGACAAAGAGATGGGACAGAGAGGAACCCCAAAGTTTTCTATGCCATATAACAGAAGTCTGTGAAACCATTAACAGAGATTCAATAACTTTCTTGCTCATAACAAAAATATTTGAACATTCTATAAAGTACTGCAGTGCCGGGAGCCTCTTCTGTGCAAATTCCTTGTTCAATTATCAAGCTTTCCTGTACAGTCCATCATAACATGAAGAAAGAAATTCCATTCATTCTCTTTCTTTCTGCTCCCTTCCACACGCAATAGTTCTAAAGCACTCCAAGCAGTTTTCCCTCTTTTTTAAACCTTTCCAACACCAATGCATTTGGGGATTGACTGTGCTCCAGTCTCCTACCTATAGTTTCCCATTCCTCTCCACAGAGACACAAGACACACTGCAACTCCTCACTGCCCTAGAACAGGGAGGGATATCCACACAGACAAAAAACCCCACCAAAATCCCAAAAGGTGAGTTGGCAGACACAGGAGAGGCAGCACAAACACTGCTGGTCACTGGCAGGAGCTGTGATCAGAACACATGAAGCAGGGGTGGGATGTAAATCACCTCAGCCCATGGAATTTTGGAATATATTTGGACATGGACAAAGGAATATTGAAGAACAGTTTGAAAAGGAATTTTTCTTCATAAATGCCTTTAAATTGGTTGGATGTGGGAAACATCATCCAGCTCGGTAACATGTTCAGAAACTCTAAAAAGAAATGAAGCACAGAGTTCCTCAGGGAAAGGGTTAAAGGTGATTAAGCTGTTCATTAACTGCCTAAGGATCTCCACAGTCTTAATTCAGAATGAAATAAAAACTAATAAAGCATTACCTTTGTGACAATTTCAGACACCACCCACACGCCAACAAACCCAAAGCAAGTTCTGCTCTGTGAGCAGTGATTGACAATTCAGGACTCTGGATTCATCTTGAAAGTCATGTTTCACTAGAACAACTAATTTTTTTTAAATGCAGCTCAGGCCATTAAAACGAAATGGAGCTCTACACCCAGGGGGAAGCAACCAGCATTGCAAAGGAAGGGCAGTGGAAAAGAAGAGCCAAGAAACTAAAGTAAAGGCAGAGGTTACTGGATCCAAAAGAGCCCTGAGCCGTGTGGGCTAGGGCTGCTGTGCAGCGTGGGAGGATGGGACTCCACAGCAGCACTGCCCTGCCCTGCTCCAGCAGACACTGGAGAGCAGCACAGCAGGGAGTCAGTCACTGTCATCAGCTCCCACCACCCTGTGCTCAGAATGGAGAGGCAGCCTGCTGCCCACTCTGAGATTGTACACTCACTCCTTTGACCATCAGGATTTGCTCTGGATGTTGATTAAGTAGGAAATACTCTCACTGGAATATAAGCCAGTACCGGACACCTCTGATTATAACAGATTTTTTATTTCCACAAGTGACACAGACATAATTAGGGGTGAAACCTGCAATCTCATGAACCTCTGTACTACCCTCCTCCCTGCTCAGCTCTACCCTTCCACAAATCGGAATGATTTCCCCTCCACAGCACATCACAACACACTAGGCCACAGCTGTGATCTGACGTTAGCAAAAAGAACAGGGACACACAGCCCTGATAACAGCTCTGCTCTTGGCACTGCCCTGGGAGTGTGCCCATGCTGCTGGGACCCGCTCAACACGAGGCATACACAAAAATATTCCAAAACCACACCGTGCTGCTGCGGGTTTGTGAGCCCTGGCAATTGGAGCAAACTTCCATAATGAACTAAAAGAAGCATCACACAGGGCCATATTCAGACAGCCTGAATTCCCCTGCAGTCACACCCTGTACACTGGAGAAAGCCCAGAGGCTTTGAACCGTGACTCAGCAGCCCACGGAGGGGAGGATGGAGCCACCTGTAGCCAACGGGGACAGTCGGGTACAGAGACTGCCGTGAAATTTAAGCCATCCTGATGCTTCTTAATACGTACTTATTCCTTTAGCCTCTGCTTCTGCTCTCTTCCTGATCCACCACTCTTCACTATTCCCTCCCCTGCCATAAGGAAAATCAAAGGAAACCCACAGACAATTTGCCCATGATAAAAAAGAACATGTAGTATAAAGTACCACCACAGCTGCAATGTGGACCAGTAGCTGCCCAGGCCCAGAAAATATCTTGCTCAGTATGACACGATGCCAGATCCTCAGCAAGCTGACAAACAGATGGGGAGGCAACACTGGTGTACAAGGATTGGGCACTAGTTATTCTGGTTACTCCCACATATCAAGGCATTTTTAAAATGTGCTTTGCTGGAGCACTTTCACTGGAGACACACTTCTCACAAAATACAAGTAAGATCTGGGCATATCCTGAGGGTAACACGCAGGATAAACTGCTTTGGAGAGCGTAAGGAAATGAAAGGAGGGTACTACAAGAAACATGGGCAATCCTCAACATTTCAAATACTTCATTAATACACATACCAACACCACACACACATCCTGCCTTCAGCAGAAGGGAGGAGGGCCAAAGGGGCTCAAGAGTGTTATTGTTCCTCTTCTCACGCAGGCTGCGCTGACCTCAAAAGAGTTATCAGTCGCTGGCTCCCTATAAATCAGAGCCTTATGCAGCCTGGCTGATTCCTTTCTGTCTTTACAGACAATTTAACTTCCGTGTCAGTGCCTCGGGGACACAACTCTCCAAGCCTGAAGCCACAGCTGGCAAACCTGGGGGAGAGCTGAACACCCCGAGTGGCAGAGGGTAATTCCACCGCTTTTTTGTTAAAAGCTTACGAAGCTTTAATTGAAAAGCCAGACAGTAATAGGCATTATTTAGGATACGTGATTAATATTTCTTGAGCTGAATTAAGATTTAATACATAAAGTCAAGCGGATAAAGCCAGGATTTTGTGCCAGTTCAGTTGAGGTTTGCACTTCCTGGTGTTTTTTTTTTTTTTCCCTTTTAAAGCAACTGCAATAAAAACTGAATGACATTCAGGACAATTCTCTTGATTCATCTACAGATGTGACCCAGAAGCAAAGCCCCAACAGGCAGATTATTTCAGGACAGGATGTAACATGTGGAAGGATTTTTAATAACTTGAGGCCTTATATAAGCCCTACACTTTAGATTTAATAGTAAGTATGAATGCATGTAAGCATTTCTTTATCTGCTTTGTTTATTGTAAATAAACAGTCTACTGCTTCAAAACAGAAAGATCAGAGTTGCTCTTTTCCATATTTGCCACGGGAGACTTGCAAACTCATCCAGCACACTTAGAGAACCATGTCAGATGTGGTAGAGAAGCATAGGTAAACCCCTCACCACAGCATCCTGCCACTCCTGATCCCAGCCACTGCCACTTGAGGGAAGAGTGGGCACAAGTTGTGAGGAGGAGAAGGAGAACTGCGCATTCCTTTCTTGGCTAGAAGATAACCAGAATGGTTCACAGCCCATGAGGCAGGTCTGAGGAAAAGATCAACAACTCCGTGGAGGTGGCATCTGCAGACCTAAAGAACAGAGCTACTGCAGTCAATCACTGTCCTCAGCCTGTGGGCTCTGACTTGCAGAAAGTGTTTGGACAAGTGACAGAAAGCACTTTAACAATTGTGGCAGGCTCACTCTCAGGACAGGCTGTAGCCACTATGCTACAGGGTGAGCTTCACTGGACAACTCTAAACTGGTAACAAAACAAAAACACATCTGAAAGCTCCTCCAACAAGCAGAATCCATCAGTGTGGATTTAGCTGTAGTCCTGCCAGTGCCAGGAACCTGAATTTTGCTGAAAAATCACTCTCAGCCATAGATTCAGAACACTACCAATCTTTGACATACAGTACAGAACTGCTACTTAAAAAACACCTAAGTTTCAATTATGACTTAAAGACAGAAAACGTAACAAAAAAACCCAAACCACGACTTGGAAACTGACTCTTATGATGACTAATATTATTTCTCATAGTATTCTAATAGGTTGTTAAGGGTATACAAACAAATTGACTTATTAACTATAGTAGTTATATTTGCTAAACAGCAAAAACTTTAACTACACATAAGAAAAAAAATCCTTATTTAGCAAAATAATAATTTTAGCCTGATTT